CCACCCATGGACAACAGAGGAACTACGAGTGCGATGCCGACTTTTTGGGGATTAGGGATTTGGAGATTTAGGGATTGGGGGAGGGGAAGGATTTGGGCCTGCGGTAACCTCACTCACACGGCGAAACACAATGCTGTGTGTTTCGCGCCGGTTTTCTGTGAGGCCGTGGTATACTCCGGTCAAGACGACTCATTCGTGCACATGCTCGCGAAATCCGAAGTGGTAGGTAGGTATAAAGTATGACAATTAATTTTTCATATTTCGCCTATTTTGTAGGCGAATGCATTCATTACAGGCACGGTAAGAAAAATTATTAAATTAATTAAGTACTGTGATACAGGTGTGATGACTAATATAAGTGCCCTATTTTATTATGAGAATATTGTGATCAATTAATCGAATGCTTGTTATCAATGAAAAATTTACTTTAAAAGTACCAGCATAACGATAACTTTTGCATTTAACCTGAATGTGTTTATAAAAGTCTTACTTATCTACCTACCTGTATTATGATTAATAAAAACGTTTTTGACCTTTACCAACAGAAACTTCGATAATATGTAGCCCCAAAAAGGGCTGTTGTCATAAATAAAATCGTTGTCCCAAAAATGGAATTCGAAGATCGTCGTCAAAATATAATCACAATATTTTCAAAATTCGAACATCACGCTCGTTCCCCGCGAACTCGTCGGGCTAATTGTATATCTTTGGGCATTATTGTAACCCTTTTTGCATGAATGGCGCACAAGTTCGTATCTTCAAACAATCCGACGAGATAAGCCTCACTCGCTTCCTGCAACGCCATCACAGCTGAACTTTGAAACCGAAGATCAGTTTTAAAATCTTGAGCAATCTCTCTCACTAATCTTTGGAACGGCAACTTTCGTATCAATAACTCGGTACTCTTTTGATATCTACGAATTTCTCGTAAAGCGACTGTGCCGGGCCTGTATCTGTGAGGTTTTTTCACTCCTCCCGTAGCTGGGGCACTCTTTCGAGCCGCTTTCGTGGCTAATTGTTTTCTAGGAGCTTTCCCGCCGGTTGATTTTCTTGCAGTCTGCTTTGTTCGCGCCATTTTTGACAGTTGACAGTTGATGCGTTGTTATTTTTTTTTCAATAGGTATATTTTACACTGACTAGAATGTATTCTCTCTACACTCATTGACTAAGCCGATTGAGCTTTGCGGGTCCTTTATATAGATTTTCATAATAATGTTATAGATGGTGCGGGTAATTTTATAAATTGTTTAGCTAAAATTACCCACTGATGGTAATAAATAAGAAATGACGAAGCATGGAATCTTCCATTATTAGCAAATGGATATTATGTTGTGATTTGACAATTACCTACACACCTTTTTTATTGTGAGTTCTGTTTTAAAATGATGTTCCCTCACTATCTGGCTCGTACATAAGTATTAATTATCAAAGCGTTGCATGCTTAGATATAAGTCTGAATTATATGTAGGCATACTTTTTTTAAGATGACCTACATTTTGAGGTTTAAAATGAACTAGACCTTGAAATAACAATAAAAATTAAAAAATAAATTGCCTTTCAATGATTTAAATAGATCTGTACGAAGTCAGGGTCATGAAGGAAAAATGCCTACATATTCTAGAAATGTTTTTTTTTTTGAGGTGACATGTTATCAGACAACTTCTCTCACCCTCGGTGGGGTGGGAGAGTGAGTAGCAGACTCTTACTTTACCGTTCCTTCTCATGCATCGGGCCGGGGCTGTGATGTATTATTGCGTTTATACCCGCAACCCCGGAAATTATGATCAGATCACTTTTGTGACATTTTTTATATGCCATAGGTTGACAAAGGAGTAGATGGATTACCTGCTTGTAAGCAATCAGCGCCGCCCACCTACACCCGCAACATCAAAGGGATTACGACGACCAATGCATCGCCGGACTTTCGTGGATAAGGATTTTGGAGATTTAGGGATTAGGGACGGATGTGGGAAGGCGAAGGATTGGGCCTCTTATGCCCTCACTTACACGGCGAAACACAATGTTGTGATGGTTTCACGTAGGTTATCTATGAGGCCGTGGTATCAATCTGGTCGAGCCGACGCATTCGTGCTGAAGCGTCACGTGGCTCTCCCACACTTTATATTATTATTTAATTTTAACGTTTTTGACTTCTGTCCAGAAACATGATTAAATGCGGCCCTGAAAAGGGCCATGTCAATAACAACAAATAAAATACTTACTAATTCAAACTCATAATTTATTTCTTCAAAACATAACCTCGAAATTATTTACCCGCCAAAACCGTACAGCGTTCTTCCTTGTCTCTTCAAAGCATAGACAACGTCCATAGCTGTCACTGTTTTTCTTTTTGCATGTTCGGTGTAGGTCACGGCATCGCGGATGACGTTTTCTAGGAAAACTTTTAACACGCCACGTGTTTCTTCGTAAATTAATCCAGATATTCTTTTGACGCCGCCTCGTCTTGCTAACCTTCTGATAGCTGGTTTTGTGATACCTTGGATGTTATCACGAAGAACTTTCCTGTGACGTTTCGCGCCTCCTTTCCCTAGTCCTTTCCCGCCTTTGCCGCGACCAGTCATTTTGACGTTTGTTTTTTTTTAATCGGTTTGTGTGATGGATGTTATGGAATTTATGAGTCGCCTCGCGCGTGTGAGCACCTTTTATATCGCTGGACTGCGGTTTAGTAAAAAATTTGAGGGTGTTTGTAAAAATTTGAACGATTCGTTTTTTGCATTACCTGCCTACCAGAATTTTGTATTTTCTCAAAACTATTATTTCCTTATATTTTTGTGATAGGTATTATAGCGTAAGGTTAGGCATTATATGCAAAATCTTTAATATTTACATATTTTTGGAATTAATAGCTTTAGATACTACTCTGCTGTGATTTATCCATTTGCTCAAATCTTAGATCTCCTTGTTAACCATTTATGGTTTCGTAATTTAAATATCAATACTAACCTAAATAAAATTTAGGTAGGTAAGTACTAAATTACCTAGGTACCTATTGCAATAAACGAATAGTTTCTTATAATATTAGAAAATAAATATCTAGGTACTTTTACTTCTATCATTTGTTATAAATAATTTTCTCGAATAACTTAATTGGCATAAGTAAATAGGTTCTTAGGTATTAACTCAAGTAAGGCACGGTACAAACGAACAAATCCGTGATTCGGCACTACATTTACATTATCTAAAAATACACAGTAATAGCTATTATAATCCCTACCTATTAACGATCATAATTGAAGTCAAGCCGTGATTGGCTAGAACCACAATGAATCAATCACCTCACCCCACTACTTGTGCCGGCGTAAAAAACATAAACTCACGCAAAACCGCGGCAAAATTGACATTTAAGAAAAAAAAATTGACAGTTGTTGAATTTTTAATTCCAACATGGCGCCCGTTAAAGCACCTAAGAAGGCATTAAAATCAATGGAGAAATTAGTTGAAAAACCAATAAATAAATCGAAGAAAATGAAGAAAAAGAACTATCAAAGCTTCTCTATATACTTGTACAAATTACTGAGAACGGTGACGAAGGATAATTTGGGTATTTCAAGAAAATCTATGTTGATTATGAATAATTTCGTCAATGATATGCTGGAGAAAATTGCCGAGGAAGCGGGTCGGTTGGTAGCTCACAGTAAAAAGACCACAATGAGCAGTAGAGAGATCCAGGCCGCTGTAAAACTTATAATACCTGGTGAATTAGCTACCCACGCGAATATAGAAGCAATGAAAGCGATTAGTATGTATCATAAAAGCCACGAACGGGATGCCGCAGCTAAAACTTGAACTCGACGGAACAGTATTTTGTTTGACTGTGTACAGTAATGTGAAGTAATTTATTGAATTGTTTTAAATAAATGGTGATTGTGATTTTTTTGTTGTGTTGTTTTATTTCTTTTTTGTGTGTGTAAGGAGGTAGATAGTTTTTTTTTTGTTGTACTTATGTGAAATTGTTTTAGTAAGATTTGGTATGAATAAGACATTTCATGTGGATATCGTTTTCAAAAAACAATAAATAATAGGTACCCACATGCCGCCGACTTAATATTAGTGTTACCTACATAGAAATAAATTACTTTTCAAAATCTTACATCAATACTAAAATATGTTTCATCTTAATTCCAACCGCTTTATCAAAATCAGTCCAGCTGTTTCGGCGTAAAAGTGCAATACGGGTTTCGAAGTAAAAAAAGTCAGTTTTTATTAGCAAAATATCATTCAATTTATTGTTAAAATTGGTGTTAAAATAAGTAATTTACACAGATATACCTACCTACATAACAATTATATAAAACCTACTTTAAAATACCCACTTAATAAATTATTAAAACTAAGTACAATATAAAACAAAAGAACTAATCAACTACTACATTTTAAATTGAATAATTAAAGTGCCATGAAACCCAAGCACGAATGGGCTGGTTCGACCGGGGTAATACCATGGCCTCACAGAAAATCAGCGTGAAACAACCAGAATGTTGTATTCCGGCGTGTGAGGTTAACGGACCCTTTATCTCACCTCATTTCTAAATTCCCAAAAAGTAGGCAACGCACTTATAACTACTATGGTGTTGCGGGTGTGTCCACGGGTAGGAAGAGTATTTCAAACTAGTCTAGTGTTATCGAAGCCTATTTTAATAAAGAAACCGAATCTTTCTTCTTTATACATTTTGAGTAAACGCATCACCTGATGGTAAGCAATCAGCGCCGCCCATGGACACCGGCAACACTAAAGTTACGAGTGCGTTTGCCAACGTTTTAGGGATAAGGGTTTCGGTATTTAAGGTATTGAAAGGGATGGGGGGCCTCCGGTAACCTCACTCACTTCCCACCAATTCGTGCCGAAGCTTGGCTCTCATTTCTATAGTATATTAATATAATATTCTTTACTGGAACAAAAACACATATACAAAATTATTTGCGTACGTAAATAACTACACTAGTTAGATAACTGTGTTGCAGCTATTAACGCCCACCTCCAGGAAAGACAATGCGTTCCAAATTCAGATATTAAGCAATGAAAATTAACAGATATTAATACTATCAATAAACCCCTAAATTACTAAGCATATGTGTTAATATTATTTGATGAACATCCCTGAATACTGTTCGCACGTTGTCTGTGTCTGTAGCCGTTGTGAAGTGGAAGTAACATTCTCTGGGCCGCCGCGCCTCGGCAATAACGAAACGCTCAGCTGACGCGTCTAAGGCCCGGCGTTCCCGCTTTTTTGTTATCAAATCCTGGAAAAAATGAGGTTGTAATTAATCATGGAAGTTTATAAAGATAAATATACATACCTACAGACTGGCTTTCTAGACATGAGTTTTGACATGACATATCTATACTTAATAATATTATAAAGTAAAAAAAATTGTAAGTTTGTATGTAGGGGGTAATGTTTGGAACCGCTCGTCCGATTGCCAAAATTCTTACACTGATATAGCTACAATATTTCTGAGTGCTATAGGCTGTGAGTTTAAGAGTGCTAGTGAGAGTAGTTAGTACATTATAAAATACTAGCTAGGTACTCTCACGCGGTTTCACCCGCTACTCGGCTCCGTTTGATCGTAGCGTGATGTTTTATAGTCTATAGCACTCAGGAACATGGTACAATGTTCCTGAGTGCTCTATCAGTGAAAGAATTTTTTCAATCCGACCAATTTTACCTATTTAGGTATATTATTAGTATAGAAGTATAGAAAAGCACGCAAGATAACTTATAAATTACTTCTAGTATAGAAGTATAGAAAATAAACTAATTATAAAGTTAGGTTTCATTTCTGTAACAATTGATGCACTGAAACTGCTAAAATTGGCTTCCACATTGGCCAACGATCTGTTAGTTTCCAACTAGTCAAATTCAATAGGTTATAGGCACTTTTAATAAAATCTCAAAAATTTTTCGGCTTTGGAAACTACCTACGTACCTATTTATTAAGATATAAGCAAGTAATTTCTTGGGTGGTAAAAAACAAATTATTTGGACTAGATATTCAAAGCAAAAAAATTAATAAAAAAAACAATCGCCTTCTCAAAAATTATTGTCCACAAAAATAAATGACAAAAACATAATGACATGAAAGATTGCTATAATGCGACGCTGCATAGATCGATAACTAATTATTTACGAATGTAAGGTATTTAGATAAAAACCGCAAAGATTTTACGACGCGACGTATGGTACATATGGAATATGGAAAAGGGACAGCTAACGCCATCTAGTAGCGTCACGAGTAACTAAACATATTTTTAATGTCTAAAAAGTTTGATATAGGTACCTTATTAGCAATTCATAAAGTTGCTCTTCATTTTTGTTTGTTTTTACCAAATAAAAAATGATAAATATTAAAAAAAAATGATTGTAGCAATATTTACCAAAATTTAAAATATTTTACCAAAGAGATAGACTTTTTTCCCGTCATAAAAAGAACTTACCACAAACAAACTCCTAATAAATAGCTTAGTTCTTGTATACTCGTCGCCAGCGGCCTCAAAGTTGTTGTAATTGGGGAAGTAAGGAGCAATACTGCGACCTTGAGCCACCTTGCTTTCTAATAGATCTTGTTTGTTCAGAAACAGGATTAGGCCAGCTTCTAGGAGGAATCTGGAAAAAGATTGTTATTTATTATTATAACAAAGTCAAAGTTAAAATGGTACTGCAAAAGTGTACAATGTTGATCTTATTTTATTGGTAGTGTTGGTATTGTTTCAAGAACTTTTTATAAGCATAGTAATAATACCTACTTGTATCATCCTTATTTAATTTACAAATTTTTTTACAGGAACGGAGCCTATTCGAAGGAAATAAAAAAAACATTATTTTCCTCTAAATTGCTACTTAAAAAACAACAGGCACTTTTGCATAACATTTTTAAAGGTTTATTATGTAGATAAAAAAATAAAACAAAAAAATATGCACCCTACAAGTGACGAAGAAAGACAAGTGAAGAAAGTTCTTGAAAAAAAGGTGATATCACGGCCATCTAGAATACAGGCGAGAAATAACGCTTGGGTTAAAGTTTCTGAGTGACATTCCCGCCAAGTTTGCATTCCTTATGAAAAATAACAATTCTCCGAACTGCACAGTGTGCAATAAAATTGAAGATGGTACAACATTTGCTGATGGATTGTTGTGTCCGGAACGAATGTGAACGTGAATTAATCTTGAGAGAACTAAAACTTAATAGACTAGATGAAGGCTTTCCACAGTCAATACTTTCAACACAATGTTCAGACACAACCAAAAATTTTTGCAATTTAATTACCATACTACCAGAGTGATTCATGTTCTTGTCTTCATTTTTTTTCTCTTTTAATAATATTATATTTGTAAGAAAATAATAAAAATATGATTTGATTTTATATAAGGGTATGATAGGGATAGATAGATGTCATATCAGAAATAAAAATCCCTTAAAAAATTTAGAAAAAAAAAGAGATCCCCAACCCCAACACCAAACTCCCCGTTCTTAAATCCCTAATAGAAAACCCAACAAGAGGCAACGTCCTTGTAGTAACTCCTTTGGTATTACGAGCATCCATGGGCGGCGCCGATTGCTTACCACCAGGTAATCAATATACTCGCTTACAAAACTATACCATAATAAAATGGTGGTGTGCTTTACCTGCTTTGCCAGACATCTTCAAACAACGCGAGGGCCTCCTTAAGCCTGTTCTGAGTGGCATCCTCACGCAGAGTCTGATCGAAGTCACTGCACGCCACAAGGAACCAGATCGCGTTGATACCTTCGAATACCTGGACATTCAAGAGGATTATTTATGTGGGAGAACCATGCTTCAGCACGAATGGGTCGGTTCGACAGGAGTGATACCATGGCCTCACGGAAAACTGGCGTGAAATAATCACAGCGTTGTGTTTTGGAGCATCAATCCTTCCTCTCCTCCATACCTCTCAAGTCATACCTAAAACCTATGAAATGAGAAATCTTAATCCCCAAAAGATCGGCAACGCACTTGTAGTAGATCCTTTGGTGTTGTGTGTCCATGGACAGAGATTGCTTACCATTAGGTAATCTGTCGGCTCGTTTGTCGACCAAATCCACATAAAACTAGGTAGGCGTACTTTTTACCAGTTTTTTTAGGTATATGAATTTAGTTCATAACTAGATTTTGTTGTAAGCTAGGGACCTTAGGTTAGAGATATTATTCGTCTGGCTACGGTGGACATCCCTATAGCCTTTTCAAACATTCTTCCGTCGCGTTTTTCTTAGTACATTTTGTTTTTTTTTTATTCACTTTATCCCTTTTCAACTAAATTAGTATCGTTCAATACTTCGTCTATTAAATAATTTGCATTATTTATTGAAAAGACAGTTTTAAAAACAGAGACTTAAAAAAAACCGAGGTAGCCATGGTTAGTAGTTATAAATTTATAATATTTGCCGCTAGATGGTGTGAAACCAACAAACAGCCGTCACATTCCGAACTGCGAATGGTAAAAAAAATTTCTTTGATGTTGTCTTATATCCATACCTGTATCCATTTCTTTCTTTCCCCCCTCTGACCTCCAACGTCGAACATCCAAAACTCCTGCACGCCACCATGCATTGATTTTGGCACCTAAATATTAGAAAATAGATTTTCATTCGTTTTGGGAATACAAATAATACCTGCTCAAAAATTAGGCGTAAATTCAGTGTTAGGTAAAATTAATTATGTAACTGTTCTGTAGAACTAGTAATGTATGTATCTCTGTATATATTAGTTTATATTACTATGTAGGTATTAGTTATACTTTTATTATTATTTCTCTTTTTCCATTTCCTTTACAAAGGTAATATTTTCTTTAGGTAACTTACCGGAGGCCCAATCCTTCCCCGCCCCCAATCCCTCCTCAATCCCTAAATCTCCAAATCCCTAATCCCCAAAAGGTCGGCAACGCACTCGTAACTCCTCCGTTGCGGGTGTCCATGAGCGGCGCTCTGATTGCTTACCATCAGGTAATCCGTCTGTTTGTTTGCCGACCAATTACATAAAAAAGGGTAACTATTTTTCGCTGATTTCTCTATTTGACCCTAACATTCACTAGTAGAGACTGCCATATGGTATTAAGTCCGCCTTATGTAAAGACAAGAAGTCTTTCATCAGATCATATTGTGTAAATTGAATCCTAAATAAATAGTTCTCAAGAAAGGATTTTTTTCCTCTTTAAATTTCTAGACTATAAAGCAGTATATACTCACATACTAAATAATGAATAGGTATTTGGCAGGCCAGTGATTCTTTATTTAGTGGCACGCGCGAATATTGTGGACTACCCGATCGAATGAAAAAACAATATTTGGTGTAAGATTGTAATGGGTTTATTGATCAACGTGTAAAAATGTATGAAATTATTTATTTACCTTAACTTTAAATTCAATCTTCTGTATACCAGTAGTTTTCTGTCGACACCTCAATATGTCTGCGTCTGACGGTATATAATCAGGTTTTTCAATAAGATCTATTCTATCTAAGAAACTGAAAAAAATTAGAGGAATTAAATAAAACGCTATGTTATAGTGACATCTGTTATTATAAAATAGAACTATGTTTTGTTTAAATGTTTTGTCTCTCTGTCAACAGATGGCAGCGGTATATACATTTATTTACTGTTGCGGTAAAACATTGAATTAGGAGTTTTCTTTAACAGACTATATTTTTGGTGATTTCAAAAATTAGTTAGAATTTTAATAACCTATTCTTATATTTATTGAAAAATGATTTAAAATTAAACTTACTATTCAGCGCTGTCTATTAGTTGATATTCATTTGATCGTCTAAAGCATTCTCTAACACCACCGTCTCGCCATAACGTTCTTACGTGGTCAAAATATTCCTATAAAGAGAGTAACAGTTATAACAAAACCAAGAAAATAAATAAGAAAATATAATTTAGGTAATAATTTTAATTTATAGTGTTACCGGAACGCCTTTTATTTTATTATGTGGTAGACAAAGGTATTTAAATGAAATAAAAAAAAGAATTTATATTGCAAATCAAATACATTCCAAATTTCCACATTATGTAGGTACCCTGGGCCCAATTCCAACCTTAATGTTATTACTGAAACACTGAAAAAACTTCAGTTATTTTTTACTTTACCTCGACTACCCTAGGTCAGTAGTCGCACATACAACCATCAACACACAGACAGAACAACGAAGACCCTACAAACACGTCCGCTAGGTGGCGCTGCACCGAGCATGACGTAAAAGTAGACGCGCCGCATTTAAATTTCTTTTAAAAATAATAGTAGTGCATAAAAGTTAATGAAGACCAAGTACCTCGACAAATTAACAACTAATTACCAAGTGCAAGTGTTATCCAAGTATAAAACTCATAAATAGTGCAGTTTTAACAACATAAACTCGCTACTCATAGCCGACCTAAAAGTCAAGAAACAAATTTAATTTTGTATATAAACTTATTATTGTGTTTAAAATAACTAGTAAATAACCAAAACTAATAACAATAACAATTAGAATGTGTGTAAAAGTGCAAAAAAGTGATTAACAGTGATTTGAAAAATAAAAACATCAACCGCCAAAACAGAAAATAAACAAAAAGGATATTGACCCTCTATATTTCTTAAATAAAACTTTCTCTTATCAATACTCTAATTTTGTCAAGTAATAATATGTTCGAGTGGCTGAATGCACATGACTTGTACTTATACTACGAGCACGTGTGAGTAGACGCGAGTTCGAAACCCAGCAAAGACCGTTCACTTTTTGTACGTTTTATAAACAGATTTATTTGTCAAAAATATTAGTCTGTTTCTCCTTGGTAAAATACCTCTAGAAAAACAAATTTCGAAGAAAAAGTAGTTGATTTTAAAAGGAACAAAACTCAACAACTACCACAAGATGGCGTCACTAGTACGATGTTATAAATGTAAAAAAATGGTAAATATAAAGAAAACAGCACTTTGTTCCGCCTGCGATAATCGTTATGAGTTAGATTGTGATGGTTACCCCGAAGCAACGTACAAACTCAAAGATCCTGAAGGTAAAAAAAACTGGAGATGCAGAGCTTGCATTAGAAACAAGAGATATAACAATGGTGACGTCATCGAGGCATCCAACGTGACCTTGCGTAAAAAACTAACAATAAAACCATCATCACCGACTGAACTATTACATAGCACAAAGGTGCAACGATGCCTAGCACCCAAACCCAATAGCGCACCCAACAGCACATCATTGTTTGATTCGCAAGTACTTAACGACTGTGAAACATCAGATGAATCCTACACTACTCCCAATAAACTGTCAAGAAGTATGGACGGAACAATCTCAGATCTTATCTCTATCTCTGATATGAAGGAAACTATAAATCAACTCACAAACAAGCTTCAAAGTACAGAAAACGAAATGGAAAACATTTCGTTAGAAAACCAGGACCTGCATAAACAAATTAATAAATTAACTATAGAAATTACCACTTTAAAATCCCTATGTCATTCTTCATTATATGAAAGTCCTGTTACTAACAACAAGAAAATAAAACATGTTCCCTCAAAGCAAAACATGTGTTCAACCCCGTCTTCTCCAGTATCATCAAGAAGGAGCACCAAAAGTAACGACAATGAAATAGTACTAGGATTGAAACAGAAAATTCTATCCTTGGAACAGCAATTAGAGGCTGCTCAAAAGGAAATCACCGCTCTCACTGAACGCATCTATTTAATAACTACTACACCAGTGCCGCCGCCGCCGGGAACTACACTGGTGACGCCGCCGCCGGGAACTACACTGGTGACGCCGCCGCCGCCGGGAACTACACTGGTGACGCCGCCGCCGGGAAATACACCGGTGACGCCGCCGCTGCGTCTTCGGTCTCCGAAGCACAAAATACACATGATAAGTAGCGAAATCTCAAATAGGTTATATAATATTATTGAAAAGGCTCATTTACATAATAGTGAAATATGTCACTACCGTATGCCTAAATGTGGTCTGAAGGTTTTACTGGACGGTATTGATAAAAAAGTAGAAAACTTCACATACTCTGACTTTTGTATTATTTATATTGGTGAAGAGGATTTCCGTAGAACACAAAATTATATAAATCTTGTTACATTTATCCGCGAAATACTTATGCCATTGCAACACACTAATTTTATTATATGCCTACCGACATTTAAATATATGGAGCACACAAATGTAATGTTTAATAGCCGAGTGGATACCTTTAACAACTTGCTATGTTTGGATGTGGAAACATATAATTATGCGTATGTTTTAGACTCCAATTATAATTTGCCTTACACTCATGATACATACAATTTATTTGGAAATCTTAATTATAAGGGCATAAGAGTTGTGATATCAGATCTAGTAGATCTTATTTTGTATGTAAGCACATTGACAATAGATCAAATGGAAGCTGACTGCTCCCAAAAAGCTCAATCGCTTTGTTTCTCAAACACCCAAACACAAGAGGAATCTCGTTTTTTTCTATAATTACCTCAATGTTCTGCATCAAAACATTGCAGGTCTAATTAATAAATCGGATGCCCTGTTAGTGAGATTAGAAGAGCTGTCACATAAAGGAATAAACGTAGATGTCATCTGTATTACAGAACATTTTGTAGAATCGGGTTATGAATATTTACTAAACATACCCAATTATTGTCTAGCAGCCCACTTCTCAAGAAATGTAAAGCGGGGGGGCACATGTATTTTTGTTAGGGTGGGTTATGTGTACAAAGAGATATCTGATATATCAAAACAGTCCGTTTCAGGAGTGTTCGAGTGTTGTGCAATAGAAATGATACCGCACAATATAATTATTATTTGTATTTACAGGGTACCTAAGCAAAATTATTGCGTATTCTATGAAAAGCTACATAACATATTAAAAAAAATTAATTTTGCTAAGAAGAAAGTAATCATAACAGGCGATTTTAATATTGATGTGTTAAAGAAAAACAAAATTGCCCTAGAACTAGAATCTTTTCTTTTACAGTATAATTTAAAGTTAGCACTTTACATGCCCACTAGACTAAGCAGCAGTACGTGCATTGATAACTTTGCTCACAACTTTCAAAAGGGATGTAAAGCACAAGTAATCGATTTGGTTCTTTCTGACCACACATCACAATTACTTAAAATTCCCACTAAAAAAACTAGTCTGCTTAAATCCTGGAAAATTGAAAAACAAGAAATCTCCCGCGAAAATTTAATAAAATTTAAATCTTGTTTGGAATGTCTATGGTTTTCACAAGTGTTCAACACAAATGATGCAAACGAATCTTATGACAACTTTATGGAAGATTTTTTGCTTCTATATAAACTATGTTTTCCTAATAAAATCATAACTGTTAAATGTAACAAACGGGTAAAATGGATTTCTCACGGCATTAAATATTGCAGTCAAAAACAAAGGCAGTTGCTTTGGACGTACCGTTTCAACCCTAATTACAAAAACAAACAGATTTTAAAAAATTACACTAAGTTGTATAAAAGAATAATGAAGCTAACGCAAAAAGCACAGAATAACTATTATATTAATACATCCGACAATAAGGCTAAAGCTGCCTGGCAAATAATTAATAACTCCAAATCGTGTTTCCCAGAAGAGTCCATATTAAAAATAAAAATAAATGATTTTATCATTGAAAATCCTACAGACATTGCAAATGAATTTAACAAATATTTTATTGATGACGTTGAAAGTAATATTAGAAATGGCATTCCACCAAGTCATAAATCAAATTCTTCTATTACAACATCACAATCATTGTTCATGTCGCCTGTATCAAACCAAGACATAAGTAAAACAATTAATAGTCTAAAAAATACAAGTACTGTTGGTTACGATGGTGTATCCACTAAAGTAATTAAATATGTAAAGGACGTAATAGCGCCACCACTGACTCACATAATTAATTTGTGTATTACTGAGGGCGTATTCCCAAATAGTCTGAAAAGTGTACTTATTAAACCATTGCACAAAAGAGATGATAAAACAAATATTAAAAACTATAGGCCAATTGCAAAAATACCAATATTATCAAAAGTAATAGAGAAAATAATTTATCAGTCTCTTTACGAATATCTTGAAAAGTATAAATTATTCTGTAACGAACAAAAGGGATTTAGGAAAAATACTACAATTAATATGGCAATTTTTGAACTAATATCTAGAATCATATCATCAGTAGATAAAAGAAATCCCATTTGCGCAATCTACACAGACATGACTAAGGCATTTGACTTTGTAAACCATAAGATTTTACTAAAAAAACTTGATAGCTACGGTATCAGAGGAAATGTATTGAAACTAGTAGAATCGTATCTCACTGACAGATATCAGTGCACAGAGGTTACTAGAATTTGTCCTAAGACTAAACTGGTTACAACCTACAAATCTAAACCAAGACGTATAAATTATGGCGTGCCGCAAGGCAGCGTCTTGGGGCCGCTGCTATTTTTGATATACATCAATGATTTTCCTAAAGTCACACGCCAAAAAATGGTCCTCTTCGCAGACGACAGTACTGCTATAATTGAATGTAACAATCCACATACTTACCAAAATGATATTAATAATTCCCTTTCTGAAATCATTGACTGGCTGAATAACAATAATTTAATTATTAATCTAAATAAGACAAAAGTAATGCACTTTTATCAGCGACGAGAAAACCCAACTTTAAGTGTCTCATACAAGTGTAACGAAATAGAAGAAGTCAGTCATATCAAGTTCTTGGGTATAACGATTGACAATAAACTCACTTGGAAGCCTCATACTGAAGAATTATGTAAACGACTTAGCCAATCAGCATATGCGCTTTCCCAGTTGTCGAAAAAAGTAAATATTGAGACCTTATTAACAGCATATCATGGACTAGTTTGTTCAGTTTTACGATATGGGCTTGTTTTTTGGGGGCAGTCCGCTAATAGAGATCTAGTTTTCAAAATGCAAAAGCGCTGCATAAGGGCAATGTGTAATATTAAAATAACTGATAGTTGTGTACCTTTTTTCAAATCCCTAAAACTACTCACACTGCCATCATTGTACATTCTAGAAACAGCGCTATTTGTAAAAACTAATTTACATCTGTTTGTTAAATTATCAGACGTCAGAAAAACTCCTATGCGTACTAAATACTTAAATCAATTATGTCACACAAAATGTAAAACGGCTTTAATGTCTAGAAGTTTCTTTGGTATTGCTCCTAGAATTTATAATAAAATACCAGATAAAATAAAACAATTACCTGTCCACAAATTTAAGAAAACATTGCAAAAAATTTTAATTGACAAATGTTATTACACAATTGACGATTTCTTAAATGATTAAATTCCTGCCTACAATGTTATTTTTATTATCTTCCGTATTTACTAACTTTATTAGTTTTTTAATTGTGACATTTTTTAATTATGACATTTTGTTAAATAGTAACATGTTTATTTCTTATTGTAAGCCACAAAAATATCTTAACTTAAACTGCAAAATATATTTGTATGTCTTAGCATAGACAAAACATAGCGCACTGTAATTTACCTTTAAGATCTGTATTTTTGTTACCTACCTATGTTTTACAAATAATAAATGATTGATTGATTGATTGATTGATTGATAGGGAATATTGGTTAAAAAGGTTAATACTTACTTCTGAATATTTAGTGGGTCCCTCGGGTCCCAGTTTTAAGATATAGTCTCTTGAGTATTCATTCTTTGGATTTTGCAGTGGAATGTTCAGGACAATCATATTGTCTACGATATCGTGGATAGATTCATGGATGTTGTGTCGAATTAGATTTGCTTTCTCTGCCCGTTCGCTGGAAATAGATGTATTTGTGTTAGGACGGCATCAAGCAATCGTTATGAACGCCCATGGGTACCTGCAGCCCCAGAAGAGTACCATGAGCTTTGCTAGCATTTTGGGGATAAGTGTTTCGAAGATTTGGGGATTGGGGAGGAGGGGAAAAAGCATTGGAAATCTAATCCTCCGAATCGATATTTAAGGATTTTATAAACCTAATTAGACCTCATTAATTGTTAACTTACATTTGAAGCGTTCCAGAGGCTAAGTTCCTCAAGCTTGAAGGTGCGGGTTAGAAACCTATCAAGTACCAATGTGACTTTTTCCGAGTTATATGTAAGTAGGTACTTTCTATGATTATTAAGACACCGAATCTGACATACGGTGAAGGGAAACATCGTGAAGAAACCTGGGCTTATAATTTCTAATTATAAGTTTGAAATCGCCAATCCGCCTTGAGTAATAAAAGGCCTTTGCTCAGCGGTGGACACTTATAGGTTGGTGATGTGATTTGATAATTTCGTGTATAGCAGCTGATATTATAGTTTCTTATACAGAAACTAAAAGTATTAGATGCTACCAATTAGCCAGTTCCCTAAGAAGAACTCACCTAGCGCAGAAACCTTGTACGTGTAAAATTTTCATTTGTTTTATAATTGTTGTTTTACCACTCTCACCAGTACCCAGTAACAACAGCTTTATAGCCTGAAAAAGGAATTATATTCATTTATTCCATTTGGGTTATTTATTTCACTAATAAAAACATAAATACTATTTAATAGGACAGGCAATTATGTTAGAATAATGAATTAATGTCGTGGTGGCTCGGAGGTTAATGAGCCCGCTTCTCATGCATGAAGGGTTCGAAACCTGGCAAGTACCAATGTGACTTTTTCAGAGTTATATGTACTTTCTATGATTATTTAGACACCACTGACATACGGTGAAGGTAAACATCGTGAGGAAACCTGGACTTTTAATTTCTAATTATAAGTTTGAAATCGCCAACCCGCATTGAGCAAGCGTTTGCTCAGCAGTGGTCATTTATAGGCTGATGATGATGATGATGATGAATTAGGTTAGATAATAAAACTTCCGTTATTGAATGAGTTCTTTAACCATTTAATATTTTATGAAATCAGAAGTGAATTTAATCTGCACCATATGTGACTAAGAAAAATAGCTTTGACGTTCAAAAGTGCCTGTAAAGGTCTAATTGGAATAAATGATTTTTGACTTTGACTTTTTGACTTTGATAGCCATTTCAAATTGATCTCTATGATAACTATACTTACTTGATTATAGGATTTGATCCACTGTTTGATCTCGCGGTCGATCTGTTTAGAATGCTCCTCCACTTCATCTCGTGCACCCATGCAAGGTAACCAAACCATTGTGCTTTCATATAATGTTTCTGTATCTGGACTACAAAAATCTGATTGTAAAATGAATTATTTATTTTGTATCTGTCTGACCGAAAATCTCGTTGGATCAAATCCAAGCCGGGCGAAGTGGTCTTTGATTTTTAGAATCTGAAACAAACAATTTTGTTACTGTAGTTAGTGCAGATAGGTACAGTGTATTATAAATTTTTTACATTGAAATATACATCTTTCAATTTCCTTTTCTCAAATTTCCTTATGTTTATCGATTCAAATGAATAGAATCTTAGTTTGACGTCCACAGCTTAAAATTATAAGTTAATAAGATAATTTTTTGATGTTATCTTTGAGCTAACAGTAGCTACCGTGTTTAAGCATGTGATTAGATTAAAATCTTTGATAAGGATCAAGATTAAAATAGTCCATTCACGTTAATATTGTACTTTTTAAGAAATTGCGTAAATTAGTACCTAGCATGCAAGGGAGTTTTGAGTTATTAATGCAAAATATATCTATGGTACATCATTGTCATCGAAACAACTATATTTGTATACCTAAAAGGCCAAAAAAGACGGACCTATGTAACCCTATTGACCACCTTGCATGCTACGTATGTAAACCCATGTTTTCGACAAATAAAATTTCTTGTATCTTGTATAAAAAATATAAAATATAAAATTTCTTGTGTCTGGTTATTGCAATATTATAAAATAAATCGGGTAAGATCTTATTATAGTAGATCAGTTGAAACCTATTTTTTTCTTGGCTGAGACTGATACCAAAGACATAGTAAATGTGAAGATAGTATTGGTAGGTACAACATATTATTATGTGCCTAGAAGTTGCGGTACCTAAGCGACTTTTGAAATTGCAGTTATATGAACAAAAAAAAAAGAAAATATTTTATATTGAATTTGTGTCCAAGACTAAATTTCAAAACAAAAATAATGATGCCGTGTCTAAATTGTCTAGACTGGCCGAGAATTGTTATTGTAAACTGTTCCTTAATATAAACATTACACGTTTCTAAGTACTGTATTCTTATCAAACTAAAGATTCAAGTATCGATATGAAAAACTAACATTTAAAATGTTTTAGTGGTATCCTAAGTCAGATAATAATCGTTTGTGGGCCTATTAATTGATACCTATCATCAAAAACTATTTGCAATAAACAAATAACAACTATAAGGTACACATTACAGGTTCCGTTTTTGCTTGTTTACATTATTTAGGTATTTAGATAGAGAATCTTTTTGTAAATTCATAGTGATTGATAGTTTTATGTCATTAATTAATTGTATTGTAATAAACGTTGCCTTATTGGTCGTATCTATCTAACACTCAAAACTAAAATTAAAATCAAATTCCTAGTTGAATTAAACAGGCATATTCAAATACATTAAATATTCAAAGCACATGCGCTAATAGGGATATTATAAAAAAATATAAGTGCAAGGAAGTTCAAAGAATTTGAAAAAGTGTATTTTTCCATTTTCTTTCATAATCAAGCTTGTTTGACTTTTTTGACTTGTTATTCCCCTACGTTAATGTTTAACCGTAACATAATATTTTAAAAATCGCGGCAATTATGAACAACTATGACAGAAACAAAAAAATAATTCTTTTTCATGGTGCATCTTTACTAGGTACCTATTCAATTGAATAAAAAATACTTACTTAGCTAGTTTATGTAAAACGTCTTTAGTATTTCAAACAATAAAACTAGAAAACTTGTATCTAATGAAAACATAGTTTACCCGCAGAACTCGATGCCCGCAGCGTAGATAATATTTTGATAAGGATATTTTTAAATTATCAGCAAAAAATAAATCAAAACATTAAATGATGACCAAATCATTCAATGAATTATACGTACCGAATAAAAAAATATGATAGATGTTCTTGTAAAAAACACTTTTTCAAAACTTTTTGACAACAAAAATGTCACTAACCTTAAAAAAAAAGTTTTTGACAAGATGGCGTTCCCACCAAATCACAGTACTCAACTAAATATGATTTTTTTATCAAAATTAATATCATTTCTTTGATATCTTTATGTTATCAGTAAGTTATAATGTAAAATAATCGATGTTGATTAAATAGTGTCTATGTATAGCGTTACAATTTTTTGATTTACGATTCGGTTTAAATTTGTCATTATTATTAAAATTACCTTTTTCTAGATTTGATTATTGTTACTCTATCTATACGTAAAATTTCGGTAAGATATTGCAATTTAAATGTAGGATAACCAAGTATAATTTTATAAATCAAGTATAATGTTATGAATGAAAAGTGTAATCACATTCCCAAGTCGAGTCGGCGATACGGGGTTAGCGTAATAAGATACCCCGGCCTCGACCTTAAGCAGGAGCAGGAACGGGTGTGTTTTTAAAGAGTCTAACAATGCCCTCTGGATTCACCCTGGGCGAAAGAAGTGATTAGGTGATTATCCCTTCACAAAAAAATACCCGAATTCTAATTAGGTAGGTTATCTCCTTTAAAATTTCACTGTTATAATAATGCATAGATAAATTACCTAATTCTTAAGTACTGACTGTCTGCGCCGTTCCGCGGCACCTGCGTAGATTGCAGCCCATTTCAATAAGGTCAAGTCAATAAAATCTTTCCTCTTTATAATATTTGCACAGAAAAATATCTTACCATATATATGTATAATTCCTGTAATAAATTACTAATAAAATTGTTATATTTTTTACGATAACTATTTATATTATTCCTTCAAATAACAAATAATTTACAGCAAGAAAAAAAAATATGTAAAACATACAAAAAGATGCGATCGCCCCCGGGTGGGCTTGAACCACCAACCTTTCGGTTAACAGCCGAACGCGCTAACCAATTGCGCCACGGAGGCTTATGGCTACCGTGTCGAAATTGCTAACCATTATATATTTACCTATTTATTAATTTATGAAGATTCATTAATCATTAATATGAAAATAGAGTAAAATATACTGTGAGGAGTGCTGACTTTAGTACAAGTAAATTATGTTTACGTAGAATCTGTTTGTAAGTAATAAGAATAAACTACCTAAGTTCAAAAAAATCGCTTTATTTCTTGACAACAATATCATCACGTTTTGCCGGCCTTTTGAGTAAGGCATTTGAGAATTGGGAACAGAAGGTGAGAAGGGGGGATCGAATCTCCAGCACGGAGCAAGTACATGGCTCCGTGGCCACCAGATTCCACTTACGCGGCAAAGCAAAGCACAACTTAAACACTGTGTTTGCTTCATGCCGGTTTTATTTGAGGCCGTGGTAATACGCCGGCTATCTCTAAGGCCGTGGTACCGCTCCGGTCTATATACACTATACAAGGTACTAAAAGAATTTTCATTGGAGATATTTTTAAAGAAAAGTAATTAAACAATTACCAAATGACAAGACCGATAAAGTGTGGGAGAGCCAAACTTCGGCAAGAATGAAGAAGGTCGGCTCGACCGGAGTGATACTACGGCCTCACAGAAAACAGGCGTGAAGCAACACTTACGTTTCGTTTCGTTGTGTGAGTGAGGTTACCGGCGGCCCAATAGCCTTCCCTCCCTCCCCCATCTTCAAACCCATAATAACGCACAATAGGCCGGCAACGCCTTTGCAGGAAGTCCTTTGACGAGTGTCCATTGGCGGCGCTGATTGCTTACCATCAGGTTATTCGTCTGCTCCTTTGCCAATTTATGACATAAAAAAATCGATTGTTTTATTATTTAGTAGCGAACCGGTTCCGTACGGTTTCAAACTGTGGTTTCAAAGCTGATACTTAATTTCTCCACTATTTAATGGATGTTGTATCTGTTTTAGCTTCTTCAATCATTATAAGTAACTAGCTACTCTCACACGGTTTCACCCGCCGCTCGGCTCCATTTTATCGTAGCGTGATGTTTTATAGCCTATACTATAGGCTATAAAATGTTCCTGAGTGCTATAGGCCCATTGTAGCTATTCAGCGATTCCAAAGATTACCCCCTACATACAAACTTACAAGAGGTAAAATTTTACCACTTTATAATATTAGTATAGATAAAACAACCGTGCAAAATCCGTTGCGTAGTTTTAAAGATTTAAGCATACATAGGGATATAGTGTCAGAGAAAGCGACTTTGTTTTATAATATGTAGTAATATAGTAATAACAATTTAGGTTTGTGATATTAAAAAATATACAAGGGATAGCACCCCCAATCCCTACTTATCAGATTTACTTATATTTTTGTCGAAAAAAAACAAAGGAATTCAAATCAATACGTTTAATTATTGAAATAATATTACAACTAAGAAATTACCAGCTAAACAATTGCACTTATAAATAATAAATTTATTTCCTCTGACTTTAAGTACATTTACAAGAACATTTCAGACATTGAAAGCACTTAAAAAAATTATAGAATAAGTTTTTGTCCGTTAGCGCCTTCAGTATTAAGGTAAAAAGTAACGTATGTATTATTCCAGACTATAATCTAACTGTCTGCCAAATTTCATTTAAATCCATTCAGTAGTTTTTACATAAAAAAGTAACGAACATCTATCCATACTTAGAAACATTCGCGTGTATAACTTTTAGTAGGATTTATGAGCTTATTTAGGCCTCCGGTATCCTCACTCACACGGCGAAACACAACGCTGTGGTTGTTATACGCCGGTATTCTGTGAGGCCGTGGTATCACTCCGGTCGAGCCGACCTATGCGTGCCGAAGCCAGCCTCTAACACACTTAAATCTAGTATAACTCACAATAGTTGATAATTCTATTTAATAAAAACTATAAGGGCTGATTTTTCAATGGTTAGATAAAAGTTACCCGGGGAATAATTATGATGCTGTCGCGTCAGAATGTTTGTATAAGACAGTGAGAGCAACAATTTTATTCCTTAGACAACATTTATCTGACTATTGAAAAATCAGCCCTAAATCATATACATTTAAGCTAAAATCTAATATTATTATACTAGGGAAATAAAATAAATTTTGGTAAAACAAATTATAATTATGAATTAAAAAACCTATCAAGGTCGACGAACCCAGCTCATATTTATAAGAAAAACTAAAATTTGACATTTAAAAATAAACAGTTTTTTTTATTATCAATAAAACACATTTTTATATAAAAATAAAAATTCTTAGACTACAATTTTCTCACACTTTAATATTTTTTTACATCTAAAACATCATCAGCCTATAAGTGCCCACTGCTGAGCAAAGACCTCTTTTCACACGGAGAAGGTTTGAGCATTAATCACCACGCTTGCTCAATGCGGGTTGGTGATTTCAAAGTTATAATTAGAAATTTTCCCTCACGATGTTTTCCTTCACCGTATGTCAGTAGTGTCTAAATAATCATAGAAAGTACATATAACTGGAAAAAAGTCACATTGGTACTTGCCAGGATTCGAACCCACAACCTCATGCATGAGAAGCGGGCTACTTAACCTCCGGGCCACCACGACCACCTAAAACATATCTATGATCATTGAAACTGTCAGACAAAGATTTTTTTAACTTTGCCTCTATTGGCTTTCTCCTGTGTAGTGGATGCGTTAACAAAGATACAATTTCACATACACATCATACGCAGACCTGGAACAATAGTGGATCACAAAAGGTCAAGCCCATCACACATTTCACGGCATCCGATTACCCAGCTGACGCGTCAAGGGTACAATCAAATATTGGTGCATCGTGCCTGGTATCGAATGGGTTTCTTACTGCTATTTTTCTTTCAAAGCAAAATGTTGATCCAGTGTCTGATAGCCTCTTGATTCTGATAAAGTTACGGAGCGAATAAATAGCTTCACTAAGAGAACTGACCGACAGTCTAACACCCGGCTTCCGAAAGGTCGATCAATGTTAAAATCAATTGAATCTCTTGTCAAGTCTTGTGATTCGTTGACTGAATTATCAACAACCAATCAGATGACTTGACAAGAGATTTGACAGGAGATTAGTTAATTTTAGTGTTGACAAGCCTTTCAGAAACCGAGTGTGACACTCACTAAGCTTGGTTTGACGTTCAAAAGTGCCTAAGTTGACTGGCAATTTTAACTGTAGGTTCTAAGAAAATCACTCCATCAGCATGGGATCGTCGAGTTGAAGTTGAACCATTTGGTTACCATCAACTAAAACGCCGTCCCGTAACAATAACTGAACGTTCAAATCGCCAAGTTCCTGAAACAGAGAAAGTTTTCATTATCGTCAAATTTTTTGCGCCTGATAGTAAGCAAGATTGGAGGAGTTACGAGTGGCCATCTTAGGGGGGATTTAGGGATATGGGGATGTGAGGTATGCATCGCTACATCATCCTCAAGTCACGCATCGCATTAAAATGAGTTCTATCTCGCTCGCGCGCGCATCTGTCTTTTTTTTATGTAATAGGTCGGCAAACGAGCAGACGGATTACCTGATGGTAAGCAATCAGCGCCGCCCATGGACACTCGCAACGGAGGAGTTACGAGTGCGTTGCCGACTTTTTAGGGATTAGGGATTTGGAGATTTAGGGATTGAGGAGGGATTGGGGAAGGGGAAGGATTGGGCTTCCGGTAACCTCACTCACACGGCGAAACACAACGCAGTGTTTATTTCACGCCGGTTTTCTGTGAGGCCGTGGTATCACTCCGGTCGAGCCGACCCATTCGTGCCGAAGCATGGCTCTCCCACACTTAAAACATGTCTCGTTTCTTTTAGTTAATTGCAGAGTCACGAGAGGCACGTTCTTATTGGACAATCGCGCAACGCTTTCATAGCACTACTGCCACTACGTCAGCCCCCGAGATTTTGTACATAAGCTCAATGTATGAACGGAAAATATAAGGCCCTATTTCTACTCTCGTTTTATGACAACACAAATTACATCGCTGGTACAGAGAGATTGGAGGTCTTTGGGCCAACGACACTATGCACACGGCATACATTAGCGTGATACACACACTAGCAGCTGATGATTACGAGCTTCAATACGGTAGTTTCCAACTAGTCAAATTCAATACTTTTATCCAATTGTCCGAAACTATACTTTTCTATGAAATTTTTATGAAAAACTTAGTTATGACATAGTTTTTTTTTGCGTCAAATAGCTTATATATTTCATAAAACTTAGCTAAAAATATCTAAAATTCAGTGTATCGATCGATCGATGAATAAAAGTATAGTTATTTTTCAATATTTTATTGTATTGAAACGTCGAATTAATTTATTTTGACCTAGGAAACTACCCAATCGTACTTGACATGAATCAGGCATGACCGCGTAGAATTTACATCGTAATGGACATATTTCAAGCATTATGAACGCAAGTAGGTTGAGTTAAGAGTCCCGGTGTGACTTGAAACTAGTCGAGCGTTCCTCGAAAAAGATCATATAATCAAATAATCTATTTTTTTTAATGACGTTCGGTCCCCCACGTAGATGCCGATTTTACAAATTTTTTTACGTAAAAATCTCTGGACTTCCACGAATAATTCAAGACAAAAATTAGCCAAATCGGTGAAGGCATTGTTGAGTTTATAACATTACAACGAAAAGTGGCATTTATTTACATATATATTTGTATCACTCACCTCTCCGCCAACAATGGGGTAAGCAGAGCTGTCGTGTTGCGCATTTTCTCCTCTTTGTAGTATTTTCGGTCGCCGCGGATTTTTAGCGATACCTCGGCCCCGGCGAGCTGGTTGGAATTCATCCACTGAAAGTATTTTTACATTTAAACATTAATATATGGGATGCGATTGTATGTTTTTTTTATACATTTAATTTGTGCTTATTCAGAATGCTTAAGTTAAGCCAGAGTTTAATAAGATTGTGCCATATAATAAAGTTACTAATATGCCATGATGACACGACCGGAGTGAAACCACGGCCTCACAGTTACGCCAGCGTGAAACGAACACAGCGCTATATGTAGCAGCGTGAGTGGTGTTATTGGAGACTTTATGCTTCACCCCATCTCCAATCTCTAAACCCCATTCCTCAAATTCTCTACCTCCAAAAACTTCTTCTCAAATCTAGACCCAAAAAAAACCAACCCCCATGTTACCAATCCCCATTGCCCACAATCCCAAAATCAGTAAGCCTCAAATTGACCCTAGTGTAGTTGAATCTTCTCTGTACACTACACTACTACTCTACACTGTTCTTGAGCGGCGCTGATTGCTTACCATCAGTTAATCCGTCGTTGGTTGAATGACCTATCCTAACTAACTTCAAAAGGCAAAACGTACTCGGTGACCATGGGCGGCGCTAATTGCTTACCATCAGGTAATCGGTCTGCTAGTCGACCGCCTATCCAATAAAAAATGGCAATATACGTAGGTATAGCTCAGTAACACCCGATTTGAAAGGCTGATCAACGCTAAAATTAACTAATCTCCTTTTAAATCTGGGTTGCATAAAGCATGATTAATTAACGAATTTGACCATCATGTCATTTGACACAGCTGTCAAATCAACTCAAGAATCGAATGTAAGACAAAGGTACGCACGCATCCTGGCGGGCGTGGGTTTGATGCAGGCGACGTGCGTCCGCGGGACTGTACTCAGAGCTGACAGAGCGCGGGCTGTCGACGGAATCACACTCGACGTACCCTGCAGAGGACCAAAAAACGAATTAAGATTCATTATTTTTATTACAATTAAATATTGCAGTAGTTTAAATAAATTTTATTGACAATAAAAACATTTCACAATGTCGCTTCAAGGGTGAGAGAGCCATGCTTCGGCACGAATGGGTCGTGATACCACGATAACCACGGCCTCACAGAAAACCGGCGTGAAACAACCACACCGTTGTGTTTCACTGTGTGAGTGAGGTTGGCAAACGAGTAGACGGATTACCTGATGGTAAGCAATCAGTGCCGCCCATGGACACCCGCAACAACAGAGAGGATAAGGAGGATTTTGGGGATAAGGGATTGGGGAGAGATTGAAGGAGAGGAAGGATTGGGCCTCCGGTAACCTCACTCACACGGCGAAACAACGCTCAGTTTCACGCCGGTTTTCTGTGAGGCCGTGGTATCGCTCCGGTCGAGCCGACCAATTCGTGCCGAAGCATGACTCTCCTACACTTACACCAGCACAGTTCCACCACGAACGCCCTGAAGTTGGCATTATGGTTCCAGCAAGCACTCAAGCTGCTAATTATGACGATCTTACTTACCTTGGAGAACGACATTTTAGTAATCTCAATAAGCTTGTCATGAGGTACGTTTTGCAATGCAAGGGTCTTCATAATCTCTTCGGAAGTAGGGTTCAGGCCTTCCATCTGAAAGAAGAAGGCGTTCGCTGCAAAATATAGTCAGAAAAAGATAAAAGAAAAAGGATAAAAATGTGCTTTTTGTTTTTAAAGATCCGCGACGCGTACGCTGCTCATGATTAAGGGTCCCGTTGTGAGTTGAAACGAGTCGAGCTTTTCACAGTTCACTCACTTGAGTAAGTCGTTATTTTTAATAAATTTAGGATGTCTGACAATAGTCACTATTCTAAAAATAGTACAAAATATATCAAACGTACAATTTAATTATCTATACTAATATTATAAAGAGGTAAAATTTGTAAGTTTGTATGTTAGGGGTAATCTTTGGAACCGCTGGTCGGATTGGCAAAATTCTTTCACTGATAGATAGCTACAATATTCTTGAGTGCTATAGGCTATAAAGCATCACGCCACGATCAAATGGAGCTGAGCAGCGGGTAAAACCGCGGGAGAGTAGCTAGTTTGTTATATAGGTAGAGTTAATGCCTTAGGCATTTTCTACCAGTCGAGAACAGATGAACCAATGATTGAGGCCAGAAGCAAACAGAATAATTTTAGAATAGTAACTATCCTGAAGTACCTATACATACTATAATTTGTTTAAAATAACGACTTACCTGAATTTACTACTAGACACAACGGGACTCATGAACAGTTCACGGGTTAAATCTCATTCTCTCTATCTCTGTTTCTTTCTCGCTCTACCTCTCTTTCTCTGTTTCTATGTCGCTCTATCTCTCTGTCTCTGTTTCTATCTCGCTCTATCTCTCTTTTTCTCTGTTCTATCTCGCTCTATATCTCTCTTCCTGTTTCTATCTAGCTCTATCTCTCTCTTCCTCTGATTCGATCTCGCTCTTTCTCTCTCTCCCTCTGTTTCTATCTCACTCTATCTCTCTCTTCCTGTTTCTATCTCGCTCTTCCTGTTTCTATCTCGCTCTATCTCTCTCTCCCTCTGTTTCTAACTCGTCCTATCTCTCTCCTCCTATCTCGCTCTTTTTCTCTCTCCCTCTGTTTCTATATCGCTCTCTCACTCTATCTCTCTCTCTCTCTCTCACTCTATCTATCTCTCTCTCTCTCTACAGGTATTTATAAAAAATATAAAAAAGACGAAAGTAGCGTTTACCAATTAATCAAAAGAAGCTTCTTTCCAAGTGGTCTCATGGCTACATTTTTTTTTTAAAGTCAGCATTCTCCTCCCCTAACAGTTCCCAAGTTCGCTTCCCAGTACTGACCTCGACAACAAGGATGGTGGCGGGATGTTTGAGGCGGAGATGCGTGCGCAGGTCGGACCGGATCCGGAACCGCTTGGGGCAGCGGCCGCACGCCCAGGCGCGGACCCCGCTGTGGATCAGACGGTGGTTGCGCATCGCTGTCGACCTGCGGAGGGGGGGGGGGGGGGGAGGTCTTATAAGTGCCCACTGCTGAGCAAAGGCCTCGTCTCACACGGAGAAGGTTTGAGCATTAATCTCCATGCTTGCTCAAGGCAAATTGGCGATTTCCAACTTATTAATAGGTTATGAGTTCAGGTTTTCTCGCAATGTTTTCCTCCATAATAATGTCATATTTTTTATTTTATTTTTTAATATAACGTTGCCCCACACTTGGATTTTCTTGTCTGTTTCTGTGTCGTGGGTACGTTTACAAATTACAAACATACAATAATTCCACATGCACATCACACCCAGACCCGGAACAACAATTTGTGGATCACACAAAAAGTTGTTCCGTGCGGGAATCGAACCCGCGACAGCCAGTTGCCATAGAGATAATAGTTTGAGAATGCAAAACGCACGTCAGATCTGCATCGCCCCTTATGAGAATAAGAAGGCAATTTTGTTGAGAGGGGAATATCATCGAATTATTTGAGGGAGATATATGTCAGACTCTAACTGATTAAAAAACCATCCCGTACCTAAAAATACGTAAAAAAATCAAGAATCGAATCCACGAAACGTTGGACAGCAGCCAGTTATCTAACCACCCTTGTTCTGACCTTTATTTATTTAAACTTTATGCAGCAAAAAATTACATAGTCGGATGTAATTTCGTAGGTAATGTATATTTAATTGTAATTTTATAGGTAATATTATCGAGTCTGCGGACTCTGCGGACGGCGAACAAGGGTAGCTCGCCGCCCGACCAGAATCAGACCCGAGCGTACGGCGCGTAGCGTTCCGCGCGCGACTCAAAGAGCCAATAGACCGCCACAGACGGGGCCCTATAGGGCTGATGTTTAGCCGGGGTGGAGGGGTAAGCGCAAAATTTAACGGTCCTCGGCCGGAGCAGCAGGTACGGCGGGGATTTTAGTCAAAGTCTGACACTCTCTCTCGCCTTACCCTGGGCGGGAGAAGTCAGTGGATGATTTTCCACTGACAAAAAAATCCATGATATTATAAGTAAAAAGGTGTAGATAGGTCATTAGCGCTCAGCAAGTGATACAATAAAATGTGACTAATAAGCCACACTTTTTCCATATTTGTCTCTTTTTCACTCGCGATTATTGAATCATGCCATCCCACTTTGACGTCTAAACATACTAATTGTTCATGTGTGTATCAGTGTGTTGTTTTTAAAAATCGAATTTTGTTTAGGTAACCTATCTACACCATCTTACTTATAATATCATTGGCCTAAGGCCTTACCTTCTGAAGGCGACTCCACAAACATCACAAGGGAAGGGTCTCTCCCCGGTGTGGACCCTGAGATGTTCGTTCCTCATGGACAAGGTCCGGAAACCATGTCCACAGACGGGGCACGCGTGGGGACGCCGGGGGCAGGATGAGGGCTCCGTCGGACAAGAAGTACTGGATTCCCCTTCTTTACCGTGAACTTCTCTGTTGAAGAGTTGAAATAGGTAAGTGACTTCTTTCATAGCACTTTTCGTTTTAAAATTACAATTTTTTTTCTTATGTGATAGATCACCCACCAAACTAGCTGACTGATTACTTGAAGGAGGGGAAGAATTGGGTCTCCGGTAACCTCAATCACAAGGCGAAACCTAACGCTGTGGTTGTTTCACGCCGGTATTCTGTGAGGCCGTGGTATCACTCCGTTGCGGGTGTCTATGGGGGGCGCTGATTGCTTACCATCGGGTAATCCGTCTGCTCATTTACCGACCTATTATTACATTACATTAAAAAATGCATAATTATATACTCAGGTCAAAAAACGGATGGGTGAGCGTGACTTACTTGATATGTTTGTGTAGGTCCGCTGTGTGAGTGAAGGTAGCGTGGCAATGGGTACACGCGCCACTTCCCTGGTTCGACTCCTCGTTGCTGTACGGACCTGAGTTTTAGAACGATATAACTTAATATCATCATATCGTTTTTTTTTTCTTCAAAGTCAGTCAAAATCATTTATTCAATGAGACCCTAAGTCACTTTTGACAAAGCTTAAAGATAAAAAGTGTCTGTCCTCTAGTGAAGCTATTTGCTCGTTCTAAAGTGTAGATACTTATGAAGGAGAACGAGCAAGAAACTCCATGGTTACTCTTTTTCAATCAGTTACAAATACCGATTCTTTATTACATCTTAAATCCTAAAGTTACGCCGTTTTTTTTAAACGTTGCCCCACACTGGGACTTTTTCTGTGTAATCCACTAGGATGCGCTAAAATTTCACATACATATCACACTCAGACACGGAACAACAATTTGTTGATCACACAGAGTTGTTTCGGGCGGGAATTGAAGGCGCGATAGCTTGCGCGGCAGCCGGTTGACCAGCCATCGCACCAACTGTGCAGTCCAACACAAGTTCACGGCCACAGTGGCCGGCGTGACTCAACGAAAGCGTAGTGTTACGCCGTGGCAGTGAGGTTACCGGACCCGTGCAAACGAGCAAATGGATTACCTAATGGTAAGCAATCGGTGCCGTTCATGGACACTAGAATTCTTCACTAAAATATAAATTCTTCAAATGACTTCTCTCACCCAGCGTAAGGCAGAGAGAGAGTGTCAGACCCTTACTGACTTAAAACGCCCCCGTTCCTTCTCCTGCTCTGGGCCGAGGCTGCGGTGCCTCATTGCGCATGGGCCACAACCCTGGCTGTGCAAACGAACGCTATTATGTACCATGGCCCAGCTAGACGCAGGAGAAGAAACGGGGGGTGTTTAATCAGTAAGAGTCTGACACTCTCACAGTCTGACCTCTCCTCTCAACAAGGGCGGGAGAAGATAGTTGACGATTTTCCTCCCTCAAAAAATACACTTATAACTCGTTGCTCCATGGGCAGCGCTGATTGCTTACCATCAGACAAATAACAGGCTAGTTTACCCACATATCCTATAAAAAATGTGCTGTAGTTTTCGCTACCTGTTTTACTAATAGGTCTGATCGCTCCATCGCTATGCTCTTTCTTCCTGTGTTTGTATAACGCCGTTTTATTCGGTAAAACTTCGCTACAATCTCTGCAAGGTATTCTGAAAATAATAAAAAAATTATCTATACTAATATGTATTATAAAGAGGTAAAATTTGTAAGTTTGTATGTAGGGGGTAATCTTTGGAACCGCTGGTTTGCCAAAATTCTTTCACTGATAGATAGCTACAATGTTCCTGAATGCTATAGGCTATAAAACATCACGCTACGATGAAATGGAGCCGAGCAGCGGGTGAAACCGCGCGACAGTAGCTAATTTTTACGTGAAACGACAGCGTTGTGTTTCGCCATGTGAGTGGGGTTACCGGAGACCCAATCCCTAACCCTCCCCCAATCTCAAAATATTCAAATCCTACTCCTCGAAAGGTCGGCAACGCACTCGTAGCTCCTGCATTGTTGTTGAGTCTCCTCGTATGGCGACCAAGCTCACAAAATATAATGAAACACATTTTGTTTCATTATATTTTAATTCAATGAAACAAATCAGTTTAATTGGATTCCATAACGTTCCTGAAATAATTGCATGTATTCTATTCTTACACCCTGTATATACATAGATACCTGTAATCATCTCTATTGATCTTGGTGGTGGCTCCAGCATCATCCGGTCCAGTCTTACCGTGTATCTTCTTACGATGGTACGCCAGGCTCCAACTACGAAAAAAAAAGAGCTCGTTAAAAGGTACGAAAAATTTTTCTCAACTCGTCTCATTTTCTCTTCTCAAATTTTTCAAGGTTTTTTATTAAAGTACTAGCGGCCCGCCCCCGCTTCGCACGGGTCCAACTACCTCGCTTCAAAGGGTCACTTTTTCCTAATCTTCCCCTCCACAGTGCGGCCGACGTATCTTGGCGAGTCTGAAGTTAGCCGATTAGCTGCGCAGTACACAATTTTGTTCCTAAAAGATCCATTGCGCAGACAAACGGCTAACTTCAAACTCGCCAAGATACGTCGGCCGCACTGTACTTTTCTTATATTTTCTTTGATAAGAACTTTCTCCTGACAATAACAGATGAATAACACCCGGTTTCCGAAAGGCCGATCAGTGTTAAAATCAATTTAATCTCTTGTCAAGTCATCTGATTGGTTGACTGAATTATCAACAACCAATCAGATGACTTGGCAAGAGATTTAACAGGAGATTAGTTAATTTTAGCGTTGACAAGCCTTTCTGAAACCAGTTGTTAGCAAAATTTGTCCAGGCGTTGTTGAGTTATGCGCTTACTAACACATTCTGCGATTCATTTTTATATATAAGATGTTGCGCGCGGTCGTTGGTTTACGGAGCGTGTACAATGTACTACTACTTACGACTCGCACCGACTCCGCAGTGCGCATTACAAGTCATTTGTTCTTTTTTTACAACTTTTCTCTGCATTGTTCTCACATAAGGGTACACTAATGTATACTAAATGTTATATTATTGAAATAGTAACAATTGTTTTAAAAGAGTAACGATGGAGTTTCTAGCTCGTTCTTCTCCATTCGAATCTACAGTTTGGATTGAGCACCTAGCTTCATTGACGAACAGACTGACAGACTACTATTCTATTTTGACGTTTCCAAAGTGCCTATTTATGGTTTAGTTGAATTAAACGATTTTACCTTTAACTTTGACCAATTTTGTCAATTATTTAATTGCTATGTTTGTTATATTCCGTTTGAAGGTTTACCTGTTAGGAAAGGTCAATTCACACTGGTTACATTTGTATAAGAAGTTTTCGTTCGCGTGTTTCATACGTCTGTGTACTTGTAGATATGTCCAGTGTAAGTAGGACCGGCCGCAATCCTGTCAACGAAATTATATGATGAGAAGGGGAATGCAGAGATTTCATTATAGTAACTTAGGTTGTGAAATCAGCGCGGGTCTGCGGACGGCGAGTAAGGGTAGTTCGCCGCCCGACCAGAACCAGACCCGAGCGTACGGCGCGTAGCGTTCCGCGCGCGCCTCAAAGAGCCAATAGATCACCACAGACGGGGCCCTATAGGACTGATGTTCAGCCGGGGTGGAGGGGTAAGCGCATTGAGGCACCGCGACCTCGGCCCAGAGCAGGAGAAGGTTTTTTAGTCAGTGGGAGTCTCATATTCCCTCTCGCCTCGCCCACTCTCAAGAAGTTACCTGACGATTTATCCTCCTAAAAAGTCAGATTAAGAGATTGCAGGAACATACATAACAAGAGTGTTTCTTATTTTATATGATACCAAAGTCGGAAAAATCTGTTCCAAAAAATCCAAACTAATATTATACATGCGAAAGTAACTTTGTCTGTCTGTCTTTTCTTCACGCCTAAACTACTGAACCGATTTCTGTGAAATTTGGTACAGACATAGTTTGGAACTTGAGAAAGGACATAGGATAGTTTTAATACCAAAAATCTGCAGGAAGTTACTATTCCACGCGAACGGAATCGCGGGGAGAAGCTAGTACACAATATTATTCTTTACTAACTTTTGCTACCACGACCTGGACCTGTGCAACCGGGTCGAAGCGTCAAGCCTACCAAGGTATTTAACTAATGTTTTTTTTTTTTAGCAATTAATATTCGTGTAAATACACATTATTCTTAGTCAAATAAAAAAATAACGATACTGACCTCGCAAAGAAAATGCTTCACAACAGGAAAGTCTCCATATCCGAGGATACCAGTGGCTGATCGACTGGCCCCCTCAGTGCCGGGGATCCCGTCAGTTTTCTTAGCGTCCGCCAGAGAGCGCTTGTAGAAACCGTGCGTAGTTTTGTGAGTGGTACATCTGGAAATAAAGCATCAAATCTCCTAATTTATTGGAAAGTAACGACCGGAGTGATACCACGGCTTCACAGAAAACCGGCGTGAAACGACCAGAGCGTTGTGTTTCGCCGTGTGAGTGAGGTTACCGGAGGCCCAATCCCCACCCCTCATCTCAACCCCAAAATCTCCAAATCCCTAATCCCCAAAAGGCAAGCAATGGACACGAAGCTCTTGGTGTTGCAGGTGTCCATGGCGCCGATTGCTTACCATCTGGTAATCCGTCTGCACGTTTGCCGACCAATCACTAATCTGCCTTGTGCGCAAGGGTGGCGATTAATGCTAAGACCTTCTCCGTGTGAGAAGAGGCCTTTGCTCAGCAGTAGGCACTTATAGGCAGATGACGATGATGTGACTTCGTAAACTCTTACCTGGAGTATGTAGCGAAGCTGACCTTGCAGATATGGCAGGTGAAGGGGTTCTTGACTCCCTTGTGTATAGCGCGGTGCGAGTTCAAACCGCTTTCTAGGTAAAATACACTGTGGAAGAAGAAAATTCACTATTAGACTAACACTTCATAGTAAAGGGGATTTGGTATAGAGTAGATGGAGATCTGTTGCACCGCGACCTCGGCCGAGAGTAAGAAAAGGAACGATGGGAGGGGTGGGGGAGGGGTTTAGTCAGTAAGAGTATGACACTCCGTCCCGTCCCCGGGAGAAGTCTTTTCAAATATCATAAAATAATAAATTGTTCAAATTAAATATCATATTATTATTTTATGCTATGAATTCTCTTATTTTCAGACACTGTCAGCGTCTGAATATGGGAAAGCACATAATACTATCTTTCCCGAATCCAGCTTTAATAAGGTGTTGATACCATCCAGAATGTACCGCTTTCTAACACCTGTACTATCTGTACAATATGAGTACAGAGTGCCTTGAAGTCAGGGATCCCCGAATGAAACTATGTACCTCAGAGCAAGACAATGTTATTCTTGTCAAGTTTGCTATATACCATTTGCCGTGTAACGAAACCACATCGCCATTTAACTCGATCCCAACGCCATCTATCGAGCTATTCGGTACTACATTTTATAAATAATTAATTTCAGTTATATGATAGCTTATACAGATTATATGATAGATTATATGATTAATTCTTATTGTTTTCCTTTTTCCTAATTGTGTTTACACAGTCAGTCTACACAACTTTTTATTCTAACTCTCCCATAACGGACCTGCTGGAAGAGATTTTTGAAGAAATAAGCTGTGCCTTTGTGCCTAATTGTTGTATTATTTTTCTTGTCCAACTTACTGGGTGTACAAAAAACATTAAATAAAAAATAGCGTGGGGATCAAGTATACACCCGTTTTATTATTATTTCTACATTTAACACTATCACCCATTAGTATAATTACTGGCTGATGTCTTGTAATATGTTCCCATGAATAATAAAATATCAGCTAGACTTACTCTTCACAATACTCGCAGCGGAATGCCTTCTCGATCTCGACGACGCGGATGAGGGCGCGCGCCTCGTCCGGCAACTGCGACAGTAGCGCCGCCCCCACCTCCTGGGATACCTCGCGTTTGATAGGCTTCGACAGTTTCGGGGATTCTGTTTATCATTTTATGATGTTAAGCTAGATTTATGTGGAAAATTGGGTCGATTTTGGGACCAAAGGATATTAAAATATGTTTTTTTATGTATGATAGTTCGGCAAAATAGCCTATGGATTACCTGATGGTAAGCAATCAGAATGGCCCATGGACACACCCAATAACAGAGGAGTTACGAGTGCGTTGCCGAAATTTTAAGAACCTCTTCAAATACTAGCTTTTGCCCGCGACTCCGTACGCGTAGAATAATGACTTTCTGCAGATTTTTGGTATAAAAACTATCCTATGTCCTTTCTCGAGTTCCAAACTATGTCTGTACTAAATGTTAAATCGGTTCAGTAGTTTAGGCATGAAGAAAAGATAGACAGAGTTACTTTCGAATTTCAACAATTCGTATTTGAAATAAATGTTTTCTGTCCACTCACCGACAATCTGCACAGTATGCCTGACAAGTCCACTGGTGGGCGACAGCTGGACGGTCACCTCCTCCGCTTCCTCCTTCAGCTCGTTGGCAAACGCCTCTATGCATTCCGTGGATTTTGTTGCGTGCTCCTACGAAAACGAGAAAAGGCTTGAATGATTTTTTAATGAGACTTCGCTATAACCTTGAAATGGTATGTTCGAAAACAAAAGAAAAATCAACGATACAGTTTAATTCATTTATTATGTGCTACAATTCAATTTCCTATCAGGTATTTTAGTTATTTATTTAAAGAGTTAAAGAGAGAGCTGAACAGTAATAAAACCTCGACCTTCTTACCGCTCCGTCTGTCTATCTGTCATCGTTTGTATCTCATGAAGCTATCAAGGGATAGGTGCAGTTGAAAACACGACATGACATGGGCAAGTGATGTAATTTTTGGTCCCGGAATGAGCGCGCACAGAGCCCACGTACCTGTGCAGTGGCGAGGTCCCGGAATGCGCGCGCACAGAGCGCACAGAGCGCACGTACCTGTGCAGTGGCGAGGTCCCGGAATGCGCGCGCACAGAGCGCACAGACGCGCACGTACCTGTGCAGTGGCGAGGTCCCGGAATGCGCGCGCACAGAGCGCACAGACGCGCACGTACCTGTGCAGTGGCGAGGTCCCGGAATGCGCGCGCACAGAGCGCACAGAGCGCACGTACCTGTGCAGTGGCGAGGTCCCGGAATGCGCGCGCACAGAGCGCACAGAGCGCACGTACCTGTGCAGTGGCGAGGTCCCGGAATGCGCGCGCACAGAGCGCACGTACCTGTGCAGTGGCGAGGTCCCGGAATGCGCGCGCACAGAGCGCACAGAGCGCACGTACCTGTGCAGTGGCGAGGTCCCGGAATGCGCGCGCACAGAGCGCACGTACCTGTGCAGTGGCGAGGTCCCGGAATGCGCGCGCACAGAGCGCACAGACGCGCACGTACCTGTGCAGTGGCGAGGTCCCGGAATGCGCGCGCACAGAGCGCACAGACGCGCACGTACCTGTGCAGTGGCGAGGTCCCGGAATGCGCGCGCACAGAGCGCACAGACGCGCACGTACCTGTGCAGTGGCGAGGTCCCGGAATGCGCGCGCACAGAGCGCACAGAGCGCACGTACCTGTGCAGTGGCGAGGTCCCGGAATGCGCGCGCACAGAGCGCACAGACGCGCACGTACCTGTGCAGTGGCGAGGTCCCGGAATGCGCGCGCACAGAGCGCACAGACGCGCACGTACCTGTGCAGTGGCGAGGTCCCGGAATGCGCGCGCACAGAGCGCACGTACCTGTGCAGTGGCGAGGTCCCGGAATGCGCGCGCACAGAGCGCACAGAGCGCACGTACCTGTGCAGTGGCGAGGTCCCGGAATGCGCGCGCACAGAGCGCACAGACGCGCACGTACCTGTGCAGTGGCGAGGTCCCGGAATGCGCGCGCACAGAGCGCACAGAGCGCACGTACCTGTGCAGTGGCGAGGTCCCGGAATGCGCGCGCACAGAGCGCACAGAGCGCACGTACCTGTGCAGTGGCGAGGTCCCGGAATGCGCGCGCACAGAGCGCACAGAGCGCACGTACCTGTGCAGTGGCGAGGTCCCGGAATGCGCGCGCACAGAGCGCACGTACCTGTGCAGTGGCGAGGTCCCGGAATGCGCGCGCACAGAGCGCACAGACGCGCACGTACCTGTGCAGTGGCGAGGTCCCGGAATGCGCGCGCACAGAGCGCACGTACCTGTGCAGTGGCGAGGTCCCGGAATGCGCGCGCACAGAGCGCACGTACCTGTGCAGTGGCGAGGTCCCGGAATGCGCGCGCACAGAGCGCACAGACGCGCACGTACCTGTGCAGTGGCGAGGTCCCGGAATGCGCGCGCACAGAGCGCACAGAGCGCACGTACCTGTGCAGTGGCGAGGTCCCGGAATGCGCGCGCACAGAGCGCACAGACGCGCACGTACCTGTGCAGTGGCGAGGTCCCGGAATGCGCGCGCACAGAGCGCACGTACCTGTGCAGTGGCGAGGTCCCGGAATGCGCGCGCACAGAGCGCACGTACCTGTGCAGTGGCGAGGTCCCGGAATGCGCGCGCACAGAGCGCACGTACCTGTGCAGTGGCGAGGTCCCGGAATGCGCGCGCACAGAGCGCACAGAGCGCACGTACCTGTGCAGTGGCGAGGTCCCGGAATGCGCGCGCACAGAGCGCACAGAGCGCACGTACCTGTGCAGTGGCGAGGTCCCGGAATGCGCGCGCACAGAGCGCACGTACCTGTGCAGTGGCGAGGTCCCGGAATGCGCGCGCACAGAGCGCACAGACGCGCACGTACCTGTGCAGTGGCGAGGTCCCGGAATGCGCGCGCACAGAGCGCACGTACCTGTGCAGTGGCGAGGTCCCGGAATGCGCGCGCACAGAGCGCACAGAGCGCACGTACCTGTGCAGTGGCGAGGTCCCGGAATGCGCGCGCACAGAGCGCACAGACGCGCACGTACCTGTGCAGTGGCGAGGTCCCGGAATGCGCGCGCACAGAGCGCACAGAGCGCACGTACCTGTGCAGTGGCGAGGTACCGGAATGCGCGCGCACAGAGCGCACGTACCTGTGCAGTGGCGAGGTCCCGGAATGCGCGCGCACAGAGCGCACGTACCTGTGCAGTGGCGAGGTCCCGGAATGCGCGCGCACAGAGCGCACAGAGCGCACGTACCTGTGCAGTGGCGAGGTCCCGGAATGCGCGCGCACAGAGCGCACAGAGCGCACGTACCTGTGCAGTGGCGAGGTCCCGGAATGCGCGCGCACAGAGCGCACGTACCTGTGCAGTGGCGAGGTCCCGGAATGCGCGCGCACAGAGCGCACAGAGCGCACGTACCTGTGCAGTGGCGAGGTCCCGGAATGCGCGCGCACAGAGCGCACGTACCTGTGCAGTGGCGAGGTCCCGGAATGCGCGCGCACAGAGCGCACAGACGCGCACGTACCTGTGCAGTGG